GAAGGAAGGAAGGAAGGAAGGAAGGAAGGAAGGAAGGAAGGAAGGAAAGAGAGAGAGAGAGAGAGAGAGAGAGAGAGAGAGAAAGAAAGAAAGACAGACATAGACTTATGAGCCAGCAATTTCACTTCTGAGTATACACACAACGGAATTGAAAGCAAGGAATCAAGTGGATATTTGTAGAACCATGTTCATCGCAGCATTATTCCTAATAGCTCAAAGGTGGAAGCACTGAAATGTCCATTGACAGATGAATGGATTTTTTTATTTTTTTTTATTTTTTTTTAAAGATTTTATTTATTTATTTGAGAGAGAGAGAATGAGAGATAGAGAGCACCAGAGGGAAGAGGGTCAGAGGGAGAAGCAGACTCTCCGCCGAGCAGGGAGCCCGATGCGGGACTCGATCCCGGGACTCCAGGATCACGACCTGAGCCAAAGGCAGTCGCCTAACCAACTGAGCCGCCCAGGCGCCCCTGAATGGATTTTTTAAAAAAAAAAAAATGTAGTATATACATACAATAGAATATTATTTAGCCTTAAAAAGGAAAGAAATTTTGATACATGCTACAATATGTATGAACCTGGACATTATGTCAAATGAAAGAAGCCAGACACAAAAGCACAAATACTGGATAATTCACTCCTATGAGATACCTAGAGTAGCCAAATTCACAGAGACAGCAAGTATAATGGTGTATGAGGCAAGGGGCTACATAGGGAGGGTAATGGGAGGTTATTTGATGGGTACAGAGTTTCAGTTTGGGAAGATGAAAAAGTTCTGCAAGTGGTTGGTGGTGATGGTTATACAACAATGTGAATGTACTTAATGCCTCTATACTGTAGACTTAAGAATAGCTAAAATGGTACGTGTTATATGTATTTTACCACAGTAAAAAACTAAGAGATTTTTAAAACTTAAAATCTTTAAAAAATTAATTAAAATGAAATTAAACTTAAAAGTAAAGTGAATTCCTCAGGCCCCATATCTATGCGCCAAGTGTGCTATTTCTGCTTCTTCGGATCATCCTTCCAACTGCAAGTACCCATCTGTGGCCTTTTGGCTGGTTCATCAACATTACCTTGGATGAGCATCCTTTCTTCTAATTCTCTTCCTCTAGGCCACCAGCTACCTCCTGCATCCTGCAGACTACACCTGCCAGTTATTAATTAATGCTCTGCCCCTCCCCCAACTTCCTCTGGTTCCCGTGTTTTCGTACATCACCTCCTGCTGCGCTAGGCTCAATCTCTGTGCAGTTGGACATGCGGGTATTTGTACTTACTGACCTGGGTAAGCAAGAAACACATGAAACGGATGTTTCCTCTTTGCAGATGATCCTAGAACAGGAGAACCTTTGGGTGGCACATCCATGTCCATTTATTCTTATCAGCGTGCAACAAATGTTTTGTGGCTTAGGATTTCAAAGAAAGGGAGTTTTATTAACTTATCAGCTGAACTAGCATTACAATAGCTTGTGAAGAGTTTGCAACCGTTTGGGTTTAAAGGACAGACAACATGAAACACTTAATGAAAAACTTTCACAAAACTTCGACTATTTCCAGCAGTTTAGCATGTGAGAATCACTTTTATATGATGACACCCCTGAAAATAAAAACCGTTTTTACTTAAAGCAGTTCTTCTAGTTGCTGTTTTAAACGTTATCCCAGGAACAGAGACGCTATTCAGTAAAATGCAACTGCAGCCTTCTCAACAATAAGGTTCACTAGTTGCTATGTTTTCTGGTGATGATATTTTTATTTGTGAATGTATAGTGATAGCCATAAATGTGATTGTCAATAGTATTACTATAATTTACTTTCTAATAGAATGATTTTTATTTTTACGTGTTAGTGCTATAAAATTTCTGATAATATTAGAATTTATTCTGTGCTCTATAGCGATACCAGTAAACTATATTCTCAGCCATATTTTTCAATGTTTCAGATTATTAACAAAGTCATCTGTGTTTTAAAATGAAGGCTTTAAAATATACCCTTAATAATACCGTTATAGTGTTCATAAAGTTAAAAAAATAAACATATAGATCAATAGTTCAGGTCTTTAAAACTGGTATAATGATGATATAAACATCTTTCTCTAAAAAGGAAAATTATTTCTACCAGAATAGAGCCCTTCTTTGATTAGAACTGTGATTCCCACATTGTGAGCTGAAGCACCTTGGGGTGACTCCAGAGGTAGCATGGGCCATTATGTTTTGGAGGGACACAGCTGGACACCCCATAAGCTGCTGCTATTAAGTTGTTTAGACCTAACTACTTAAGAAGGGCAATTTTTAGGTGTTTCTTTGGCCTCAGGGCAGCAGAAATCAGGGAAATTTGGGAATCTCTGGATTAGAAAGATGAGTGGACACAAACTATAAGATAAGTGACAAGTACTTATTTAGTATAACCCTGTCGTTTTATACACGAGAACACTGAGGTACAGCATGGTTAAAATCTGAAATCTGGTGAAGCCAAAACACTCAGCTTCCTGGCTGTCTTGCTGGGGCTGTAAGTCAAAAGAGGCTTTTGAGGCTTCCATGTTTATGCTGCTCCCCTGACTTCCTGCTTTCTTTCCTGTAGATCCAAGCCTTGAAGCCCCAGCTTGACCATCTACCAGCTGAGTAGCTCAGGCCAAGTTCCTTACCCTCTGTAAACTGTAGCTTCCTCATTTGCAAAATAAGTGGGTGATGATAATTGCTAATAAAAGGTAAAACGGAGTCACTTCTAGAATCAGTAGAAATGATGCGTTTGAAAAAAGACTTGTAAACTGCCAACTGCTTTAGAAATTGTTGGTTTTCATTAAACAGTATTTAAACATTTATGTTCCAAGCACTGGAGAGACAAAAAGAAACTCAAAATCACCTCTATGGTCAAGAGGCTTAGCTCTCCTGGAGGGGAGAAATAGAAATGATTATAGTAAAAATTGATAAATGTTACAATGGAGGTAAAGACCAAGTATAATGCAAGTAGGGAAGAAGGTCCTCTTGAGAGGGTCGGGAAGACCTGGCAGAAGGGGCAGGGCTCCCGGTCTGAGGAGGAGGGTGAGCAGGTGATGGACGGGGGAGGGAGAGTAGGCCACAGAGTGGGAACAGCCTGGACCAACGAGAGACGTGAAGGATTAGACTGCCTTCTGGATGGCATAGCATTCCATAGGGCTAGAGGGAGGACAGGAAACAGGGGAGGAAACATTACAGATGGGAGACTAACTGTGTGTATTGGGTCTTGGTCGTTCGGGGCCTGGTATTCCTTCCAAAGGAGTGGACACTTCCCTGAAAACCTGGTGCAGTGTGCAGCTCCTCCTCCCGACCTCCATGTCAGAAGGAGGCTCTGTAAATCTCCCCAGTTTTAAAAGCTGACAGCAATACCTTAAGTTATCAGAATGTGGGTTTCATTTTCTTCGCAGCCATTTAAATCCGTCACACATACTGTCACTAAGTGAATGTCATCTTCCTGTCTGTCAAATTCACTAAGACGTTAAGGCCGCTTTGCTGACAAGGCCTGCCCTCACTGAAGCCGACCAGGAGGTGCACCTGCACCCTTCCTCACGGAGCGCAGGCGGAAAAAGGATCTTATTATGGAATGCGTGATCAAGGGGACCTCAGCTTCTGGGTCGGTTCCCTCACAATGTGTCAGGCAGGTAGCCCCATGATCTGTGTGTCTCAGGACCACACTGTGACAAGTAGTGGCATCATCACAACCCAGAATGGAGATGGGAGTCATGTTTGGGGGCGCTCTCTTTGCTGCACATTCAGAAGGCCCTGGGGTCCTACTTGTGGAACAGACTGACCTTTGAGAAGTCTCGCTCTTCCCTCCAGCAGCAAAAGGGCTCTGCGGAAGTCCCTGCCGACCGGGTCAAGCCTTCTGGAAGTAGATGCTCCTCCTGCCAACAGGGCGTCAGAGCGTCAACAGGAGCGGAGCTGCGTGCCCGGCGCGCATGCGTCATTCACCTCATGGCCTCGCCTCGTGGGGGCGTTGTATCGTCTCACGAGGTCGACGGAGGGCCCCGTCCAGTACCAGATATCTTGAGACATAGAAAAATCATATTCCTATAGCTTTTATTACAGTTGTGTTTTATTATTAGTTGTGGTTAATCTCCCACTCCACCTAATTTAGAAGTTAAACCTTTATTACAGGTATGTGTGTATAGGAAAAAAACGTGGTGTATATAAGGTTCAGTACTATCCACGGTTTCAGGCGTTCCCTCCTGGCTTCCAGAGCCTGTCAAGACAGAGGGCTCCACCGACTTTTGCAAGGGATGCTGTCTTGTTTTCTGTCTTGAGCATTCACATTTGTTGCTTCCTCTCAGCGTCGCCCATTTGCTTTGGCGAGGAGTGACTAAACCATGGGTGGCTTCAGGTCTCCAAATCCCAGGAAGGAGGCAGGCTTCAAACCGAACAGAGAGGTGGCTGGTGTTCCCCTAGTTCAAAGCACCCCACGGCAGAGCATGTGGGGCACATGGCACCGCGCTCCCCCTGTGCTGCTGTCAGACCTGATCAATAAGCCTCTGTACCTCGACTCTGGGAACTGGGCTGCTCGGCCTCCTGGATTAAGGACTCCTTGATCAGGGAGTTGCTGCCAGAGTTTAATTATTATTTACTCACTGTTTATTATTATTATATGCCAGGTGTCGCATTAAACATGTTAATCCTCATAACTGACCTTTGCATTAAGTTCTGTTATCACCTTTGAATTGTTAGACTATTATCACCGTTTTAGAGATAAAGAAACTGAAGCTTGTAGAAGCTAAATAGTTTCTCCCAAGTCAAGTAGGCTGTAAGCAGGAGAGCTGGGATTTGAACTCAGGTCTGACTGACTCCAAAGCCCCAGGCCCTCACTGGAGGGATGGGAGCAAGAAGACAGGTTCTGCAGGAAGATTCCAGTGTTCTGACACTCCTGTATGTGTCCAGTATCACTGTGGATGTTGGTCTCTCTTGATCCAGGATATATCAGTGCTGAGTGGTTTTAAAACTCCTAACTGAAACAGTCAGAATAGACACAGGGATTATCTCAACCCAGTAAATTGACCTGCATTCCCTCATGTCGTCATTGATACTTGAATGATGAGCAGGTGCTTTCACATTCATGATCGCACTTGCTTCTCTAGAACTGAAATAGGTTAATTTGCTTCTTGAAACCAACATAAAGATTTAGAAAAGTTAGGTGCATACAACATAAGACAATGTCCATTGATGATACTTCTGCACTGAAAGTTCTTGGTCAAACCTGTGTCAAATTCTTCTCTGACCAACTTAGAACTCTCTGTGGCTTTGATGAACGTAAGTCTGCTGTTCAGGGGTGTGTTGGAGCTGGCTTATACTGGCTCATGAGGACCAGCCGTGTGCACCCCTTCCAAACTCTACATTCAGTGAAGTCATATCAAATGGCCATGTAAGAAGTATTTAATACCTGTCTCTTAGCTTCCTAGGGTTGCCTTAGCAAAGTACCACAAGGTACCATAATTGAGAGTTAACTATTACTATGTTGCATATTAGTTATTTATTATGTAACATTATTTTCTTAACCAATATAATGATGTAACTAATTGCTATTATAACGATAATATCAATGATATACATGTACTGTATTCTCTTACAGTTCTGGAGGCCAGAAGTCAAGGTGCCAACAGGCCTATGCTCCCTCTAACATTCTGGGTAGAACCTTCCCTACCTTTTCCTAGCTTCGGGTGGTGGCCATCAATCCTTGGCATTCCTTGGCTTGTAGGTACATCCCTCCAATCTCCACTTGTATGGGCCCTATCCCACCTGCGTGGGCCCTATCCCTCCACTTGTGGGCCCTGACATTCTCCCTGTGTGTTTCTTCTTGTTATAAGGCCATCAGTAATATTGGATTAAGTGCACACCCGGCTCCAGTATGACTTAATCTTAACTAATTACATCTAGAATGACCCTATTTCCAAACAAGGTCACATTTGGAGGTACTGACGGTTAGGACTTGAACATATATTTGGGGGGGGTGCAATTCAACCCATAACACCATGGAAATCAGAAAAAATGCTACAAATCGGGGCTTTTTTTGTTTTTTTGTTTTTTTGAGTTGGTTTCCAGCATATCAGTGTATTGGTCTGTCACTTGATATCAGGAGAGGGCCACTCACCTCAAATATCACTTTTCCATGGGCATTTTCATCAGAAATGTCCTCATACTCCAAAGAGACTATATTACCCTCCCTGGCAGAATAAGAATTAAAGGTACAAACATGCTAGTTGGGATTTACCAGCCATTTCTAAACTTTTTTTTTTTTTAAGATTTTATTTATTTGAGAGAGAGAGAATGAAGAGAATGAGAGGGAAGAGGGTCAGAGGGAGAAGCAGACTCCCTGCTGAGCAGGGAGCCTGATGTGGGACTCGATCCCGGGACTCCAGGATCATGACCTGAGCCGAAAGCAGTCGCTTAACCAACTGAGCCACCCAGCGCCCCACCAGCCATTTTTTAACCCTTAAAAAAATTTTTTTTAAAGATTTTATTTATTTATTTGAGAGAGAGAGAGTGAGAGACAGAGAGCACGAGAGGGAAGAGGGTCAGAGGGAGAAGCAGACTCCCTGCTGAGCAGGGAGCGCGATGTGGGACTCGATCCCGGGACTCCAGGATCATGACCTGAGCCGAAGGCAGTCGCTTAACCAACTGAGCCACCCAGGCGCCCCTTTAAAAATTTCTTATATGTATTTCCATTATAAAAAAATTGAAAAATACAGAAAAGTAGAAAGAGAAGTTAAAAATAAATCATTCATAGCTTCATCATCCAAAAAGAGCTATAATTAATTCTTGATACATTTTCAAAATATTTTTGGAACTTTTTTTTTTGTTATTCATATTTCTCTTTTGGTGCCTAACCTGTTTGAATGCTTTGCCCTCTCTTCCACATGCTTTTTATTTGATAAATTTTAAAGATGTATGAGTAATAATACCTGAAGATGGCATTCAGGTTATAAAAATCATACTATAAGGTTAAGTGTTACCCTCAATCCCAATCCTCTGGAAGAAGTGGATTCTTCCAGACATTTTAAAATGCATTTTTATGCATACATTTCTTGTTCATATACGTAATATAGTTTTTTTTTTACAGACATAAACCATGGCACACTATGTACTTTATCCCACAGCTTACTTCTCCCCTCCCCTCTACATTGTCTGTCCTTAAGAATTTCTTTTATGTCAAATTTCACTTGTTCCCTTTGATTGCTGCAATATATTTTTACTGTATAGATGTGCCATAATTTATTCTCCTAATGCTGATTTTTAGGTTGTTTTCAGTCATTCATGATTATAACCAAGAAGCAAGGAAAATCCTTGTACATATCTCTTAGTGCACATATACAAGTGGTTTTTTTCTTACATAACACATTTTTAAAATTAAAATTCAATTAATTAATGTATAGTGTATTATTGGTTTCAGAGGTAGAGGTCAGTGATTCATCAGTCTTATATAATATGCAGTGCTCATTATATCATCACTTGCCCTCCTTGATGCCCATAACAGACTCTTAATCATAGGAAATACACTGAAGGTTGATGGGGGGAATGGGGTAACTGGGTGATGGACATGTACAAGTGTTTCTTTAGGATAGATAACAAGAAGCAAAATTTCTGAGTTGAAGAATATTTAAAATTTTAATAACATGCCAACTTTCCATGCAAACAATACCAATACACCCTTCCGCCAATAGTGTAGTCCATTTCTCCACGTTCTAACCCATATGGGATAGTCTATTCTTCTAAAAGCTTGTCTAGGCCACTAGAAACATGACCACAGCCTCTGCCCAGCTGGAGGGATAAATAACTGTCTGATCTGAACCCATCCTTTCCCTCCCTTGATACAGACAAGTGAGAGTTAACTATTATTATTTTACGTGTTCAGTAGTTATTTAGCATGTCGTATTAATTATTTTCTTAGCCCATATAATAATGGAGCTAATTGCAATGATAAAGATAACATCAACACTACTAATGATTAACTATTAAATAATTGAAGAAATAAAAATCACAAGCCAGAGGCTCTACATGGGACCCCAAATTTGTTTATCTAAATTTCAAAAAAATCCAAATTTGTCTTTTCTGAATTTCCTAGGTTGTATCCAATTTCCCTGAATAACAACCTTATCCTTTAGCTCCATCTGTATGTTCTTTGATTGTAGGTTCAAATTCCCAGGTGGTCATCGTACCAGAAGCCACTCCTTCCCCTCCCCTGGCAGGAGCTTATTAATTAGGTTAAAGCACAGTCCCAATAAGACTCATCTTACTATGTTTCATTTAAGTAGTAAGGCTTCTCTCTTGTGATATCCTTCTATTTAATGTCAAGAAATAAAGACCTTCTTGTCAAAATTTATTAAGATGTTTACATCTGCACTGTAATTTTTAACCTCCAAACTTGAGAGGATTGTCTGGAGACATGACACATGTTTTTGTAAGAAACTGTACCAGCTTATGAAATGCATGATTGATATTTTTCTCTGAAGGTATAAATGGTGACACCAAATATGTTTTCTTTTCT